CATACTCTCGGGGTTTCTCCAGTCTCCTTTAGGCCAGTAAATCTGGTGTTTTTTTTTTGTGAGTTAGAATTATGTTCTACATCCTTCTCCAGCTCTGTCCAGAACCCTCTGTTGTGATCCTGGTCAGAGCAGTCGGTGGTAGCTGGGCTGCTCTTGAAATTTTTTTCATTGCATTCTGACTGTCTCTTTCTCTTTAGGAGGCTGAGGATGGCATTATTGCCTATGATGATTGTGGGGTGAAACTGACTATTGCTTTTCAAGCCAAGGATGTGGAAGGATCTACTTCTCCTCAAATAGGAGATAAGGCAAGATAATCTGCTTATTTGAGGGGGGGGAGTAGTATAAGATTATCATCTTAATCATAAATCCTGCAGATTGATTTCTTCGATTTTATCATGTTTTGCTGAGCTGTTTTTTTGTGCCTAAAAAGTTAAATATTTGAGAATCTTTTTATTTAAAACCAGCTTAATCCAGTTAGAACAGGGCTTAACAAATTTTTTCTTAAAGCTTTTTTGAGGAGTCAGTATTTAAGCATTAACATAAGATGTACTTAAATCCATTGGATTAAATAAAATTGATAATATTAGTTAGAAAGTCAAAACAGTTACTGAAACATTATCAAAGTAAAATCACACCAAAGAGTTCATATTGTTTATTTTTCTCACATTTAGTATGTTTGGTTTCCTGATACCCCTCCTTTAGAGGAGTTAATAATATACAAGGAACACACACCGAAGGAAAAAATAAAAAAATCCTTTGTGAGAAGTGGAATGAGAGGTGGAGGTGTTAGTTTGGGTGAACATCTCTTCCATCAGTGTAATTATAAAGGATATTTGAAGTGGAAAGCATGGTCCAGGGAAGTGGTAGATCTCATTTTCAGAGCTAAGGAGCTTGGCATGGTATTAATGAGCATCCTTGTTTTCCACAGGTTGAATTTAGTATTAGTGACAAACAGAGGCCTGGTCAGCAGATTGCAGCTTGTGTGCGACTCTTAGGTCGTAATTCCAACTCCAAGAGGCTCTTGGGTTATGTGGCAACGCTGAAGGATAATTTTGGATTTATTGAAACAGCCAATCATGATAAGGAAATCTTCTTCCATTACAGGTGAGGAATGCCTTTTTAGGCACTTACAGCTTGTCATCCTTTTTGTTTTGGAGTTAAAACATTTAGTGTTGGTTGATTATATTTTCTGAATCCCAAATTCCATACTGGTTAAATTATGGCAAGGTATAAACTGAAGTTAAGCATCTATCTCTATATAGAAAACATCTTGCCAGAAGATAAAGAAGGGCCTGTGCCTGCTTTGAGCATTGGATAGGGGCCTTTCTGCTTCCATGAAAGAATTTTTTTTTTTTTTTTAATGTGTTGGTACCGTGGCACCAGGGAGCTGTGCATTTGGTGTATAACATAGCATTGTGATTACTAGCATGGGCTCTAGCACCAGACAGTTTGGGTTTGAATCAGGCTCTACCGTTTACTACCTGTGTATTTTTATCAAATGAATTAACCTCTTGGTATCTAAGTTTTTCATTGTCTTGAAGCTAGGGATAATGGTACTTCTTGAAAGAGTGGTTTTGACGATTAAATGAGTCAATACATATAAAGTGCTTAAAAAGTTTTCTAGCATAAGTAAGCACTTCATGAATGTTATTATTGAAGAAATAAAGGCTGCTTGTTACTGGTGATGTTTGTGGTAGTGGTTTATTCAAAATACCATTTTCTTTCCTCCCCAGTGAGTTCTCTGGTGATGTCGATAGCCTGGAATTGGGGGACATGGTCGAGTATAGTTTGTCCAAAGGCAAAGGCAACAAAGTCAGTGCAGAAAAAGTGAATAAAACACACTCAGGTAATGAATTGTGACTTCTACTTATTCAACCTATGCTTTGGGTAGGAGATGAAAGACAGAGTTGGAGAGGGAGCGAACACCCAGATGTTTTAGATTGATGATTCTCAGGTTGTGATCCCAGGATAAGCAGCATCCCCTGGCAGCTGTTTCAAATGCAAGTTCTTGGACCCCACCCCAGACCTACTGAAACTCTGGGAGTGGGCAGTCTGTTCCATCCAGTTCTTCTGATGGACACTAAAGTTTGAAATCCGCTGTTCTGGATATTTTTAGGTTACTTACTTTAAGTTTATTTTGAATTTAACGTCACTTTAAAAAAAATAAATAAACCCAAGATGTAAAATCTCCATTGAATTGGGGACAGAAAAGACAATGTCCCCTAGAAGACTGTTTTGGAGCAGAATGAGTCTAAATGTGAAAAATAATGGGAAATTAAGACAATCATTGCTATTTAAGATCTCCAGCTTGCTTTTTGCTTTTATCTGAATTCCCCAGGTGACACTTCCTTTGGCGAGCCCTGGAGAAATGATAGTTGAGACCATTAGTTTAAATTTAGTAAATATCTAAGTGCATTCTGCATTCTAGACATGAGGGGATACAGCAGTGAACAAAACAGATCCCTGCCTTCATTGAGCTTATTTTTAGTGGCAAGTTTGGGCAAACAAGTAAAATATTGTAGATAGTATGTTTAGAAAGATAGGACTATGTGCTACTGAGATGAAATCAATCAGGGAAGGGGGATATAAGGAGTATTGGGGATTGCTGTTTTAGAGACCAGGAAAGGCCTCCCTAAAAAGGTAGTATTTAGTCACTTGGAAAAGGTGAGAGAGCAAGACGTGTTTTAAATAAGAATACTTGTTAATTCCTTAAACAAGGTGCATTTATTTAATGAAAGGAGGCATTTTCATGATAGTTTAAAAGTATTCGAGGTCAGGTGACAGCTCTAGCAGTAGACTTGACATCAGGCTCCCTGCCCCATTTCGAGAGTAGCAACAACCAACCAACCCTGTGTTAACACTCCCCCCTTTTTGGCTCACTTTTTTCCTAAGAGGTAGAATTTGAAATAAAATTTTTGAATGAGAGATGTATTTGGCTTTTGTTTTGCAGTGAATGGTATTACTGAAGAAGCTGATCCCACCATCTACTCTGGTAAAGTCATTCGCCCTCTGAGGAGTGTTGATCCAACACAGACTGAGTACCAAGGAATGATTGAGATTGTGGAAGAGGGTAAGAGCATCCCTATCAGATTGTTTCAGATTTGCCATACAAGTGACAAATCAGTCTTTTAAACCACGGTTAGTTTCTATAGTTCCTGAAAATGGTCTCAACCTGGGTTTAAGTTGTGAACAAATGACTGCTGCATTGAGCACATGACTGAGACATGAGCAGCTAACTCTTGTGAGTTATGATTGAAATTGACTTAGAACAAAATCGCACACGAAAAATAATCATTTAATGTTGAGTGTATACTAGTCAGATATTCTCAACTGACTGAGCTTAGTCTGTATAGTTTATTAGTATATAGTACCAGACCCTGGAGAAGGACATCATGCTTGGTAAAGTAGAGGGTCAGTGAAAAGAGGAAGACTCCCAATGAGATGGATTGACACAGTGGCTGTAAACATAGCAGCGATTGTGAGGATGGCGCAGGACCAGGTATTGTTTCATTCTGTTGTACATAGGGTCATTATGAGTAGGAACTGACTTGGCAGCACCTAACAACAGTATATCTTTATAATTTTCCTCTATTAAAGTTTTTTTCTAACACCATCCATTTCTACAAATAGTCTTGCGTTCTGTGTAAGTTTACTCTATTTCTTAATAACTAGGGTTCCATGGGGATCCTTCCTCTTGTCTCCAGCCCAAGGTTCCCTTTATTTTTCACTTTTCTGCACTTTTCTTCCCATCTTTGAGAATTCTTTGAGTTCAGATGCCACCCCTCCCCCTAACAGTCACCACCAGAAAGACCAACTTTTTATGGTCTGTGTGCATAAAACAAGTTTGTAGTAGAAATGGAAGGAGGGAACACCATGGATGATTGGGGTAATGATGAGGTAGATGAGAGGGTTTGAAAGATGATGGATTAGTTCACAAAGTATATGATAAGCCTTTGTGTCATCTAGGAGTCATGGGGTCAAAGTCAAGTGGAGAAAGAGCAGGGCATTGGGAAGAAGGAAATGAACTTTTCCTTTACCGCATGAGGTTCTTAGAAATTTCTATTTTACATAGAACCATTATCCCCCACCTCTAACTATCAGTTGACTTTATAGCAAATCAGTCTTTTAAACTAATGCTGTGATGATACCACTTCACTAAGAGGGAAGTACGGGCATCTAATGTCATCCAATGAAGTATTGTCAAATATCCTTCCTCCTTTCTCTAACATGCCACTTTTCCTTTTGCACTCCCACCCCACAGTCCTCTTCCTCAGCACTGACTGTAGGATATCATCCAAAGCAAATATTTGGTGGAAAGGGAAACTTTTTGGAAATCTCTAAGCCTACCTGGAGATCACATTTTCCCACTTGGTGGCAATGAGTAAATAAAAGCAGCTCTTTTATTTTGTAACACAACTCTAATGAATATAAGAGCATGGGCTTTGGAGTTGGGCAGCCCTAGATCTGAACACCAGCTCTTCCACTACCTCTATAATCTTGGGATATGTATCTTAAATCTTTCCAAACTCAGTTTATCTTTAAAATGAAGAGATTATCTTCAACCTCAGAAGGTTTTATGAAGATTAAATGTGAATTGGTATAAGTGCTTTAATAAATGGTAATTATTACCCAGCTAGGTCAGGCCAGCTGTCTCTGATCACTCTTCTGAATGATTTAATCTGCTGGAAGGATCTCCTTACTTTTTGGTTCCTGTGTGTTTAGGGGTGAGGGACTTACTCTCCTGTAATCATTAGGAGCATGGTTAAAAACATTTCCAGTTCTGAAGCTTCCGACTTCAGTCTGATGTTTTCTCCTCTTGCCCACTTTTATTTGGTGGATTCACCTGGATGCTGAATTGTTAAGCATCTGACCTCTTTGGCCCAGGTTTAAATCGTAGCCTGCGCTGACCTCCAGCCAGTTTTTTACCTCTAGGGCAGGGCTTGGCAAATATGGTGGCCTATTTTCTTGGAACACAGCCAAGGCCAAATTGTCTTTGGTTGCTTTCTTACTACAACAGCGTAGTTGAGTGGTTGTAACAAAGCCTAAAATATTTACTCCCTGGCCCTTTAAGAAAAAGTTTGCTGACCCCTGATAATAGGGGAAGGGAGCCCATTAGTTTGTGGGAGGCACTATCAGAACAAAGAAAGGAGGTGGGATATTTACATCGGTTTTGCCCATGCCTGTTTAATTCTCAGTCGAGTATGGGGCAGAAATATATTTGGCTGTTGGGCTCACATTATAAACTTGAGAAGAAGGTAATCTAGTTGAGCTTAAAGAGTAATGGGATTGTAAGCAATAGTGGTATTTGTAAATTCATAAATACAGTTTAAAACTGTTTATTAGGCAGGTTCTAATGAGCTATCACGTCCTCATGTTTCATGGTGGTAGTTAGCATTCAGGATTTTTTCAAGGAACATCCGTTTTTAGCAACTATGTAAACACATTAGGACTGTCATCAGATGGCTGCTGTGAAATATTTGTACTGTTTCTCTTCACAGGGGATATGAAAGGTGAGGTGTATCCATTTGGCATAGTTGGGATGGCCAACAAAGGGGATTGCCTGCAGAAAGGGGAGAGTGTCAAGTTCCAGTTGTGTGTCCTGGGCCAAAATGCACAGACTATGGCCTATAACATCACACCCCTGCGTAGGGCCACAGTGGAGTGTGTGAAAGATCAGGTAAGTGGCAGTATCTTTGGCTCTAAATTTGATCTTTTTATGAATTAAGGGATTTTTTTTAATTTGCCAAGTAGTAACAAAACTCCGAAATTTTTTCAGCCAAGAGGGAACCATCAACATTAATTTGGTTTTTACTTCTACTTTAACCCTTTTTCAATAATTTGAGGTAGCTTATAAAAAATACATGAAGACCAAAAATTAAGTGACAGTATTGGTGAAGAGAAAATAAGAGTGCTGTTAATAACTGGCATTACGTGATAGGGAAAATAAGTCTGGAGTGAGATTTCCAGAACTAAAGACTACAAAGTTTTTAGTAGCTTTAGCTCAGAGCTTCCTTTACATATGACATGAAGAAAGAAACCGTAATTAGAAGTGTTTATAAAATAAGCTGAGGGCAAACAAAATTATCCCTGGTACTGAGACCTGTGTGAAATTTCCCTGTGAGTCCTCAGAGAGGACTGTTTTCAATACAAATACAGTGAATGTAACATTTTGTATGTATGGCTATTTCTTATAATATCAAAACCCAGTTTAATAATTCTAGAAGGGGTTAAGATGAAAACATGTTCAAATAACATCTCCCTGATGATTTTGATGAGTTGAAAAACATAGTTCATAATATATGAAGGAGCAGAGCAGTGTTAAAAGTCTTTGTTTCCTTCAATCTTAAAGTGAGTGCCAGTGATTTGAAAGAAAATTTCTTCCCTGGCAAGTTTTGCAGCCCATTACGTTATCGTTTGAAGAGCGCCACCATAAGCTGCCCCAGGCAGCTGAACTGGAGTATTACCATTAATATCATGTTTTATAACTCCCCTTCTAGTTTTAGTCAAGCATTGTGCTTCTTTCAAAGTGAAGTGCTTTCTCCACCTGTGATATATCCTTTTTTTAGCTACTTTATTTAATTTCAGTTTGGCTTCATTAACTATGAAGTAGGAGATAGCAAGAAGCTCTTTTTCCACGTGAAAGAAGTTCAGGATGGCGTGGAGCTACAGGCGGGAGATGAGGTGGAGTTCTCGGTGATTCTTAATCAGCGCACTGGCAAATGCAGCGCCTGTAATGTTTGGCGAGTCTGGTGAGTTTTATTTTTGTTGGATCAGTAACCACCCTTCTGGTGTGTTCTCTGCTATCACATTTCTATCTTTTCCTTCACTGTCTTTCTCCACCCGCCACCCACCCCCGCACACTGATACTTCTTATGTCTTTTTTACTTGGAGTCTTCATTATCTAACTTCTAATATCAGAAACTTGTCCCAGTGAAACATTTTATTTGAGCACTTGCTGTATGCTAGATCTTAAAAATAAAAAAACAATATTATGTGAACTCTGTTCCTGTTCTGCCTGGCCCCATTTCTAGGTTATATTTTGCTTAAAATTCTAATTTTATAGTTTAGCAGTCCTGACTTCATATACTTTAAAAAACAAAAACAAAAAAACCTCAGTAACATTGTTACCATTGGAAGAGCTTGGAGTGCCTGGGAATATTTCTTCATATTTAACTTTTTAAAGGTTTTTCACATCTACTACCTTGTTTTCTTTATCTGTGGAACTGGTCTCTCTGGTTTCAGACAAGTGTAGGGATAACCCTCACCCAAATGATTCTTCCAGTTCCTATACAGTAATAAACCTAGTTGAAGGGGGGGGGGGAATTGTCAAATCCTGTTTTGCTAGCTGGCTAGATGACACAAGAGTTGCTCATTAAAAGCAAGTCATTTGGGTAGTTAGGTATAAAACACACTCTTCTACAAGTATTTGCTTTTTTCCCACCAAGTGTTGCTGCTTCTGACCTCTTAACTTTCTTACAGCGAAGGCCCCAAGGCTGTTGCAGCTCCAAGACCTGATCGGTTGGTCAATCGCTTGAAGAGCACCACCCTGGATGATGCCAGTGCTCCTCGCCTAATGGTTCTTCGTCAGCCAAGGGGACCAGATAACTCAATGGTATGAGGCCATACCAGCCTTGGGGGAGGCCAACTGACAGACCAGCAGATTGCTGAGGTCTCTCAGAGAACTTAACGAAGCAAAGAGCTTCAGTATTGCATCTATACATTGGTTGAGCTCCTGACGTGGTGGTTGCTCACATTTCTTGCTTTTCCTGATACTTAGAACATAGTTTAGGTAACGGGGCCAAAGGGATTACTATAGATTTTCTTTTCTAGGAAAAAATTGGTGGTTCTTAAGATGATTAAAAATAATGCTTTTGTATTTCATTTTGGAATTGTGAAGGTACTATGATTGCTATGTACCCAGGTCATTAACTGTAATTTTATTTCTTCACAGGGATTTGGTGCCGAAAGAAAGATCCGTCAAGCTGGTGTCATTGACTAATCACATCCACAAAGCATATCATTAATCCACTATGATCAAGTTGGGGGGATTTTGGTGAAGGGTTCTGAATATCTCCTTCTTCATCCCTCCCAAAATCTGGAATACTTATTCTATTGAGCTATTACACCAGTTTTAACACCTTCCTCATGTTATGTTTAAAAAATAAATAAATTTAAGAAAACCATTTTAAAATTATGCACAGTTGCAGCCTGGAAAACTTAAGGTGGCGCCTTATAGTATCAATTTTAGGAGCTTTATTTGGTGCATTTAACGCAACTGGTAATTGCAAAATCCACATTGCCTGTGTAAGTGATAAATATAGACTGTTATCTTGCTGGCCCTATGAAATTCTGCACTTGATATTTAGTGTTTACCTTCATTACTTCTGGCAAGATGTTCTGCCTTATCACTCAGTTGCATTCTATTCCTTTTCTTCCCTGTTCATTATGCTTTAATTCTGAGGACCATTATGAGGGTAGATTATATTACCTTTTAAAAAGTACAAAAATTTATATAGGCAAACTATTTCCTTAAGTTGATGGCCAAATGTTAAAATATTATTTTTCATATCATTTATAATCTTGTCACAGTCCACTTAACAGTTTGGTTAGATTTCAGTGAAAATTATCTTCCAGAGTAGTTCTTTTTTCCCTGGGATAGGGGTAACTTTACTACAATTAGTATGTATGGTGCAGAATTTCATGCAAATAAGGTGCGCCAGCAGTGATAATTTAAATGTATTTAAACAAAAAAAGGACGAATGCACAAATGCTGCTGCTTAGATCACTGCAGCTTCTAGGACCCAGTTTCTTTTACTGATTTAAAAACAAAACAAAAAAATAATAAAAAAGTTGTGCCTGAAATGAATCTTGTTTTTTTTATAAGTAGCCACCTGGTTCCTGTGTCTGTAAAATACAGGCACTGGACTTGGTGTAGCTTCTGTTCGACCTTGTATCACGGGAATGGATTGATCTGATTCTTGGCCCTCATCTTGAATTGGCCACATACAGGGTCCCTGGCAAGTGGACTGAAAGCTTTGTCTAAGATGACAAGGGTCAGCTCAGGGGGTGTGGGGAAGGGCGCTGTATCTTCCCCATTGTCGTTTGAGGTTTTGATCTTCTCTGGGTAAAGAGGCCATTTATCTTTGTAAACACAAAACATTTTTGCTTTCTCCAGTTTTCTGTTAATGGCGAAAGAATGGAAGCGAATAAAGTTTTACTGATTTTTGAGAACACCACTAGCACCCAGAGCTTTCATTATCGAAACGTCCAGTGTGGGAGGGACGGGTATGGGTGGGGCCTGCCGCGTGACTAGCCGGTCGGAGGCCCACGTGGCCGGGGCGGGAACTCGGGCGCCCGGGGCGCCGACTGATTGCGTAGCGGGCGGGGCCGGAAGTGCCGCTCCCTGGTGGGGGCTGTTCATGGCGGTTCCGGGGTCTCCAGCATTTTTCCCGCTTGTGGTCCCGAATCCGTCCGAAGCGGAGGCAGTAGAGCTTGAGGTAAGGCTTGCGCGTGTGGGGAGTTCGGCTTTTGAGCATAGAGGCGTCTCATTGTGGCCAGGAATCGAGCGGAATCAGCGAGCTGGAGACAAAAGGCCTTGGGCGGGGGTCCTTGGTTTTGATTTCTGTGTGGGGAGTTCTTTGGAGACAGCGGGGAGGGGGGAGGTTCTTTGGAGACAGCGGGTTGGAGCTCGGAAGGCTTGCTGAGGGAGTAGGAAGGGGCTTTCTTTACCTTCGGCTGAGGGCGGGGCCCAAGGATTGTTGGAAAATAGACGAGGGTAGGGGTAGCTAAAGGACTAGCATCCAAGATTCTGAGGCCCAGACCAACCTGCAAATGATTTTGCCCTTTCCTGAATCACTTTAAGTATCAGGCGGAGGGTCACGTGTATGAAACCGATACATTTCAAACTCTGGTTTTAGTAACTATTGATTATAAAAAGCTTTGAAGTAGTGTAGGTGTGGCTCGCCAATTAACCCTAATGGCTGCTTTCCTGCAGGTCCTTGCTGGTGTGAAATGACTGAGTACAAACTGGTGGTGGTTGGAGCAGGTGGTGTTGGGAAAAGTGCACTGACAATCCAGCTAATCCAGAATCACTTTGTAGATGAGTATGATCCCACCATAGAGGTGAGGCCCAGTAGTAATCTGTTGACGCTAGCTTTCATTTCGGATTTACCCCTTTACCAATTAAAGGAATAAGTAGGAGAGAAAATAAAAAGTTATTTTGTTTATTCATTCAGTAACACAGTATGTAAAGCTTTCCATGTTTGTGGAATTCATTTCTATTACCTGCTGAAAATTTTCTCAAAAGTTTACAATTTCTAACAGCTCTGAAAAGTGTTGCAAATTCAAGGTTGAATACATTGAGTTTCTTCAGATATGACAGCTCTATCAGAAAGAAACAGGCCTAGGTAGAGGTACTGTCTGTCTGATTATATAGCAGGATAGAGATGAAGGATTCAGAGATCTGACTCTTTCAAGTAGCTGAGACCGTGAGTTGGAGTAGAAAGAAGATTTTGAGTCACTATGTCTAGGATTCAGGTCCCCATTTACTGCTTATTTAGTTATATAAGCAAGTCACTTAACCTCTTTGAGCCTCATTTTCTTCATCTGTTAAATAACCATAAACTTACTCTGTACCACACAGGGATGTTGTGCAAATCAAGTAAGGTAATATGCTTAAATTATTTGTGAATGGTAACCCTAACCAGTTGCCGTCAAGTCAATTCAGACTCATGGCAACCCCATGTGAAGTACTGCATAAATAGTACTTACTCTAAGTATTCTGTTGTTACCATGGGAGTTCATGCTATAGATTGGCTTCTATAAGTGACTTCTAAAACCCTTTAAATAAAAAGTTTTATGATTTTATTTAATTAAAAAATGGCTAATTCTAGAGATTTTTTTTTGCATATTTTATTTATTTCATTGTTTTATTTACTTGTCTTATTATCTACAACCTGGCCTCCCTACCACCCAGCTATTGAGAGTTTAATTAATGCAAACTAACTCTAACATAGCCACTATTAAAAATTGACCATAATCTTTCAGCAAATCTCCATTTCAGGCTTAACAGCTTCAATATCAATAGTTAGAACCTTTTAAAATTTTTATTAAGGTGTAATTTACATACAGTAAAATACATAAATCTTATGTCTACAACTCAGTGACCTTACATTTGGATATACTCATGTAACCACCACCCAGATCAAAATATAGAACATTTCCATTTCCGTTACCCCAGAGATTTCTCCCATTCCCCTTTTCCATTAGTAACTTCCCCCTCCCTATTAGGAGATAATTACTTGTCTGACTTCTATTATTATAAATTTGTTTTGCCTAGAATCTGTCTAATTTTGCTTAGTTTCTCAGAACACTTAACCGTCTTTCTTGCTTTGAGGAAGTTTTGATAAAGTGAATTCTATGTTGATTTGAAAGAGTAATATATGTTAGAGTCCCATCATGAAGTGAGTTACAGAGGAATGATCAGTGGGCCAGGAAACTAGGCATATTCTGTTTTTGGAGCCAGATCTTTACCAAGTGTAATGATACTATTTTTTTTAACTGAATTCCCAGAATATAGGTAGTAAAATTTTTGCCTTAAAGCCAATTGGAATTGTTTTTTGTTAGATCTATGCATATCTATCTTCTTAGGGAAGTAATTTTTGTTCCGAACTTTCAGAAATTTGATTCTGGAATATTTTCCCAAGGTATAATCTGGCATGGTGAGAAAGAAACATTGATATTGAAACCAGAAGCAAGTATTTGTGTGTTTAGTCATAAATATTGTATTTATTTGTGTATGATGCTATAACCAGAACCAAGTTATCATTGGAGGTATGTTTAAAATTTGTAAAGTAGAATAAACAGCTCAAATAAGAATAGTCCAGATTATACCTTAGTAAAATACACTATGAACTTAATCTCTAGTCTCCTAACTGTAGTATGTAGATCCCTCTTTTGAATTGCCCTGTTTTTTTATCTTTTCCAGAAACAGAATGACCATTTTTTCCTTTCTGCAGACATAGAGGATTTGGGGCTTTTTTCCTAGGGTGACATTAAGTGTGTTCTGTTTGTGACTATGTATTAGCATTTTGAGGAGCAAACCAGATAAACAGAAATAATGGACTTGGATATTAGGAGCTTATTTAACCTTGTCAATTACATTGCTTTCCCTGTGGTTTTTAGTAAAAATTGAATGTCCCTATCTCCCCACCCCCTTCCTCCACAACCCCAGGATTCATACCGAAAACAGGTGGTTATAGATGGTGAAACCTGTCTGTTGGACATACTGGATACAGCTGGACAAGAGGAGTACAGTGCCATGAGAGACCAGTACATGAGGACAGGCGAAGGCTTCCTCTGTGTGTTTGCTATCAATAATAGCAAATCATTTGCAGATATTAACCTCTACAGGTACTAGGGGCATTATTTTTTCTGGAAGGATGATCTTTAAGTGTGTTCTGAAGCTTTCTGGGGGAATGAGGGTGCCACATTGGGGAAGATGCAGCTTTGTTATGGAAGAGTTGGTTTTAGGTTGCTTGGCATTGAGAATCAGGTTATTATTGAAAATTAATACTGGAATTTGTTTTATATGATATTGCTAGAATGTGTAATAATACATAAGTTTGCTAGTGGGAAAGATTCAGAACTAGAGGTGTTGTAAAATCATGAAGGGATTTCAGAGAGCAAAACAATTCTTAGAAACATTTTTCTGTAAGTAATAGAAAAAATGATAGATGAGGAGTAGATAAAAATGAAAGCAGGACAAAGGAACATAAAGATGGTCTCTCTCCATAGAACCATAAAGTTTCAAAGCTAGATTGTGCCTTAACAAATTCTGGTACAACATTCTTATTTTACAGAATCAGAAACTAGAGTTCAGAAGGTGGTTTGTTCGGTTTCAGTGTTGTGATTGTTATTAGTAGCAGAGCCAGGACCAAAATCCAGGGCTAATGTTTCTTAGCTGAGAGCTCTTTAGCAGAATAACATAATGGTTTAGAACGTGGCCTCTACCTGGGTTGAAACTTGGCTTTATCATTTACTAACTATGTGAGTTTTGGGCAAACTGCTAAATCTTTGTGCCTCAGTTTCGTTATCTGTAATGTAGAGATAGTAGTACCTACCTCGTAGAGTTTGTGAAGATTAAATGAGTTAATGTATTATGTATGTGTATCACTCAGAACAGTGTTCATCACATAGTAAATGCCCTGCCTCCAGCCTTGACTCCTGGCTTATTCTCATCCATATAAAGATGTCTGCTCACAGAAACAAACTGGCCCAAAACTGAATTCAGTATTTTTTTCTCCTAAACCTGCTCTACTTTCCATTTTCTCTCTCTGGACATAACAGCAATATTTAATAAAATACCCAACACTTGGCAAACACCCAAATATTTGTTGAATTCCTAGAAGTCATTTTTCTTCTTCCTTCTAAGGCATTTATTCAGTTTTCATTTTATACCTTACTTCAAACCAAAGATGATTTAAAGTATCTTGTAAAAATGTACAAAGTATAGAAGATAAATTTAATTAAAAATAAGTTTAAGAAATGAGATAAAGAGATTTAAAGAAAAATGGAGTTAGGAATAAGCTTCTTCTATAATTATGTGCCATGAAGCTTCATTGACCTTATAGAGGTAGACTGCAAATCTGGCAGCTCTTGTAAGAAGTGTCTCTATGCTGAAAATAAATCAGTTGCTGAGAAGAAGCAAAATTATACCAAGACCAGAAGAAAATTTTCTGATAGATCTTCAAAGAGGGTTGTTTATATAAAAAATGGTAGTAAACCTAACAGTGACATGGTCCAAGTTCATCAGGCTCTCTTACAGTGTCCCTTAACATAGCTTGCTGGCATCACACCAAAGCACATTATACTGCAGATGGCCAATGTAATGCAGTTCAGGTACATGACTGCATGTAATCCAAGAGTAGAGTCTAGAGCTGTGCAGTACAGTAGCTGCAAACCACATGTGGCTATTTAAATTTAAATTAAATAAAATTTAAAAATCAGTTCCTCAGCCACACTAGCAGCTTTTCAAGTGGTCATGTGGCTAGAAGCTACCATATTTGACAGCACAGATACAGAACGTTTCTTCAGAAAGAAACGTTTATTGGACAGTGCTGTTGTAGAGAATCTAGACATGCTCTGGGGTATTTCTTCCATGTCATGGAAGAGGATGCTGATCAGTTGGGAATTCCAGATCCTTCAGTCCCCTTTTAATTAGAGCAGTTCTGGTGTCTTCTATATCTTGGACTTCCGACTATAATTTTGTTTGAAGAAAACGTTGGACATTCTTCTAGAGAAGAGGGTAGACTGTTTTCTGTTAAAATACTGTCACTCATTCTGAAAGGAACTTCTAAAACTTATTTACAGGCAGTGAGCTTTAGAGTTTTTACTTCCAGACTTTAATCTAGACAGCAATTTTGAGTTGCCAGTTAAATCCAGGGCTCCTTTTTTTTTTTTTTTTTTTTAACCATCAGCCAGACATGGATAGAATAGCCATCCACTTCTACTAGGAGGTAAACTGGCACTTGACTTTCCTATGGCTGTTGCGTCAAGTCTAAACAATCTCCTTAGCTTACAAGATCTATAGTAGGAGAAAAAAAAAAAAAAAGTGAAACTCAATACTAGAATCTAACAAGGTTAGATAAATTTTTCTAGTTTCTCTTTTGCCCTGTTTTATCCCTCTTGAAAGCTTGATTATTCTTACATCCTGATAACATTCCTTTTTTTAGGGAGCAGATTAAACGAGTAAAAGACTCAGATGATGTACCTATGGTGCTGGTGGGAAACAAGTGTGATTTGCCAACAAGGACAGTTGACACAAAACAAGCGCATGAACTGGCTAAGAGTTATGGGATTCCGTTCATTGAAACCTCAGCCAAGACCAGACAGGTATCTTTCAGCATCAGGGCAAGGATTTGTTTTAGGCAGAAAAATTTCATTCATTAACTCTTTGCTAGAAGTAGGACACGTATTCTTTTCTTACGGATTTTTAATAGTGTTCTGTTTTCTTTACTTTGAGCACAAAATGAACTTATTATTCTGGTGCGCATTTTTTACTTCCACATTAACATGCACAAATATTTCTACAGTGAAGTCCCTTGATTAAAAAATATTTATAAACATTAGTCCTTTCTCTAACACCAATCACTGTTTAGGGCGTAAGCCCTCCTGACTGGAATCTTTAGATCTCATAGTTCTCTGTGTCCTACATTACCTTTTTTTCTTTGCTTGATTTTTTTTTTTTTTTTTTTTTTTGTGGCAGAATGTGCCATTTGTATGTCAGTCTATTAATGTAATTCAGTAGGATGCTAAATTTAATGTCCTCTTACTCAGTTACCCCATTTTAGCAGCTAAAGTTATTTAGAGGCAGCGAGCTTTAGAGTTCCTATTTAATAGTCCAGATTTCCTATTAATTTAGTGACAGGAATTTAAAATTCACATGAAGAAGTACAAATGAGAGAGAACTTACAACTTGGATTGTGTCAGTCGAGCTGTCTTTATTATTTTCTTTCTTTTTGCTTATTCTTTTATAGGGTGTTGAAGATGCCTTTTATACACTGGTAAGAGAAATACGTCAGTACCGAATGAAAAAACTCAACAGCAGCGATGATGGGACTCAAGGTTGTATGGGGTTGCCGTGTGTGGTGATGTAACAAGGTGAGCATTCTGTCTTTTCACGTGATAATAAATCTTATCAGTTAGCATCAGGCAGTTTGGAGGAGTGTTAATTGTTACTTTCTCTACACTGCTGTTTAGAACGATGATCTCTGCTCACCTATAACTATAAAATATTTTTCTTATGGCACCTTTTCTGAGAATAATGAGGCCTGAACTATTTTTAAAACATATATTCTACAAACATCTTTACATTTTTGATAATATAAGAAATTAGAAGACATTATTTATGAAGTATATGTATATATCCCAATTCTTGGCCCTGGCCAGGGGTTTAAAGGATCACTCCATTGCAACTGGATGACAGTGACATGGTGCATGTTCTTTTCTTATACTTACAGAGTTCTAGCATCAGAAAAGAGCCACTTTCAAGGTAGGACAAATTGGGAAATGTATCATCATTGAGGTTGGATTTTTTAAACTTGTTTTTCGGATACTCTCTATGTGCCACTTAACAAATTCTGTCTTTATTTCAGCTGCACTGACACCTGGTCCTGACTTCCCTGGAGGAGAAGTATTCTTGTAGCTATCTTCAGTCTTACAGAGAAGCTCCTGTACTTCCCCAACTCTCAGTAGATCAGTAAAATATTCTCTATTTGAGAAGTTCTCAGAATAACTACCTCCTCATGTGGTTGTCTGACCAGAGAAATGCACCTCTTGTTACTACCCAGTATTTTTCCTCCCTGGGTTCTCTCCCCTCACACACATACACCTCTGCCACCCCAGGTTTTTCATCTGAAAAGTAATTCATGCTCTGAAACAGAGAACCAAACTGTAGACATAAAATTCTGTTGAAAACAGTGTCTTGAGCTCTAAAGTAGCAACTGCTGGTGATTTTTTTTTTTTTTTTTTTTTTTTTTGTCCTTTTTACTGTTGAACTTGGAACTATGTTGGTTTTTGGAAAAATGTCATAAATTACTATTTACAGAGAATATAGCTAATGTTGCTGTTTGGTTTGTTTGTGATGTTATTGGCTACACTCTATAAACTGGCATCTGCTCTGTATTCATAAATACAAAAATGAAGACTGACTTTTGAGTCTATCCTAGTCTTCTCGACTTTCATGTAATTAAATCCAGCTCTCACAGTGAAGTGCCTTTTTCCTAGAAGTGGTTTGTAGACTTCCTTTACAATACTAAAGTGGTATAGATGTCTCAGAAACCATTATATATGAAAATGAATGTCTGAGGTATATATGTCTGTGATCTCTCTACCTTTGAGGAAAAGATACACCTATAATAGCAGATGCCGTTTCTTACATGTATGAAGTTGGTTTTCCATTGGCCTGTTTTGGGGCTTTCCAAGGAGAAAGATGAAACTGGAAATAATTATGAACAATTTCACTTAATTTTTACCTAATCTTCACATTCTTTTGTAGGTTACTACCTATAAAATATATTAATTTCTTTCTTACAGCTTACTGATATCTAATGTTCGATGAACTTCCACTGGTATTCAAATTTGGGTCATACCAGAGAGCTCTACATTTGCAGGTGTTCAAATGTTGTAAAAATTTCTATTTAATAGCTATTATCAATGATTTTCAAGCCTCAAATACAGTATATTAAGTGACATATTAAATTTTCATTGTATATTGTGGTATCTTGATTATGTATATAATTATTGCCCTCAGTCCCTTCTCCGTCTTCTGCCCCTCACGCCATAGCAACGATGCTTTATTATTTCAGTTGGGTAAAGCATGGTGCTCATAGACCAGAGTCACAGTTTCAAAACTTGAATGAGCCAGTTAGCGTCTCACAGAGAGAAATTTTTTCACATTTGCACATTACACCAGTAACTCCAGCTAGTAGTTTTGCCAGATGCACGCTGTTGGCTCTGCAAGGAAAGAAGAGGTCAAATAACACCAGTCCTTCACCATGGTATCCTAAGGAGGGGTAATTTAGAAGTCTTTATAAAAAATGTATTTAAACTTTCTTTTAGCCGCTTGAAAGTAAATTAAGCCAATACGTTTTCTCCTTAACTATTTTTTTTGAGAATAAGGTCACCTCGAAACCAAACTACAAAGTTTTTCTTTATACTTAATGTTCTTTGAAAGACTTAAAACAGGATTTTTATTAGTCTGTGCATACCGGATAACCAGAGCTGGTGTGTTTGTTCAAGACAAGAAGTAGTCTTTGAATTGAAATTGAATAGAAAATATAATTCATCATTAGTTATAAGGATTTGGAGGCTTGGCTTTTCCATTTGCAGATAATACCCTGGTAATCTAATGAAAAATAGACTTGGATAACTTTGATTAAAAAAATAATTTCCGAATGGTCACTTTTCTGTTCAGGTCTTCTAATGTCTAAATACCTACTGAGGTCCTCTGTCTTTTAGTAACCACATTACCTTGAAAGGAATTCACAAGTGGGGAAGAGCCATCTACCATGTCCATATAAACCCAGAGACTTGTGCTCCTTCTTGCTATTTCAGGAGCTTTCACAGTACTGTCATCACCTGTAAACAAGCTCTGCTGTTTTGTTTCTGCTCCTCTGAAGCACTGCTCTGTAATTTTTCTAAGTAAGGTTGAGGCTTATCACATCAACCAGTCATCTTCTAGAATTTTTTTTAGCATCTGTGTGACTGGCAGCGTGACTCTTTTCCTAAGAAGTCTTTTAAATTTAATGTTAAATTAGGGAGAAAAGATAAAGTTACTCATCTCACGCTCTTGTGCCCACAGCCCTCCTATGTACCTGTAGTTTTCTCAAGTGTACTCTAAGCACAGATGTATCTAAATGGGGCCAAAATTGAGTCTTGAAAATGTTCTTATTCACTTCTTAAGAAGTTAAATTTAGGTGTGAGTTTTGGTACAATAGGACAACAAATTTACAGTTTTTTTAAAAAGCTGAATAACTTCAGTTAGTATGATATAAAGTATGGTTTTTAGAATATGTTTGTGAGTGCTGAAAGTAATCCTAAATTACCTCAAAATCTGACAGTGTCTTTTCCCAAGTTAAGTGCCTGGCCAGCTGTCATGAATTATATATTCCTTTATGTTTGTTTATATATATTTTTAATGTTGCAAGTTCAAGAGTGAAAATAAGATGTTCTCTCTAAAGGCCACCATGCATAATCCGTAAATGAATCTAAGTGCTGGATTTGCTCAAACAGCTTACTATAGAATGCTTCTATAAAATATCATACTTAATACTTACACTTTAGGAGTGTAATAGTAAAATTAATCACAATTTTATTTTAATGGGCCCCATCCTTTAAAGTGCTGTGAATTTTGTTTTGTTTTGTTTTGACCTGAAAACAAGGACAGAAACTCTTTAAAGAGCTATTTTTTCCCCATTCCAGAATTTGTAAGTATAATCACATTTTGCTTTATCTTTACCATCATAGACTCTCAAGCTGGCAGCTACAACCCAGAACCATAAAAAAAAAGGTGCATTCTGCTTCTTATAATTCATCTCTGCTAACAAATTATAAGAAGCAAGGATAATTAATTAGGGAAAATATTTTATTTGGGTGGTTTCTATAAATAAGAAACAATACTTTTTGCACATTATTTTTCATCCTTTCCAAGCTTCTTTAAGCAGTCTAACATGCCACAGAATTATTTTAAGATATTTGGTCTCTATGAGAATTGTTTTAAAAGTGTTCTCTTTATCAGAGTAGTTGCAGATAAATATTTCAGAATATAACTGGTGATTTTAGAGCACCTGAGTACTGACCTAAGAAACAATTGTGAACTATTCTGGAGGGGAGGGAGGGTTTTGATGGAAGTTTTATGACTTAAATTTCTGTGCCATCAAGTATACGTAAAAATATCAAGTGTGCAATTCTGCTGTTTAAAAGGGAACTTTGGCATCCTTGACCCCTAAATAAAAGGGCTGGTATTTTAAGTTGACTATTTTATTGTAAATTAATCCATCCTAATTTTTTTTTAATTTGATTAAATATTTTTCTTGTTAAGTGATTTTTAAAAAATAAAAACTGGAGGTTCTTTGCTTAGTCATAATTTTTTTCTCTACTAAAGTGCCTTTATTGAAAGTTAATTTCAGATTTTTTAAATATAACATTTGAACAGGGTCAGAAGATCACAGTTCCTCATTCTATCTCAATATAAAATATGTCAAAGCTTAACTTTATTACTTTGGGGGTGATAGCTATCTGTCAAATTCTTATACATTAATATGAAGCACTTAAAACTATCATTGGAAATGTTTTGTTGTATTTTTTTTTGCATTACTGCATGACCTAGCAGTCTTAGTATAGCTAGAGAAACACTGGTGTAGGAACCAGAGAACCTGAGTTCCAACTCTGATTTTACTACTATGGCCTAGTTTCCTTGTTTGCAAAATTTCCTGACCCCAGTTACGAGATAGAATGATTTTAAACAAACTTTTCCATATAACTGTGATTATAGGGACCTTGGTTTTTTCTACTGAAGACCAAAGACCTAGCAAACAATTTTTTCACTTTTTTCCTTAAAAAAGAGGGTAGGGGCATCATTAATATTTGGCTGAATTAAGAGTAAAAGAACCAAATTTAAGTGACAAAATAGTGTTTCTAGATAGGACTACTACAAAGAGTGTTTATAAATATCTTAGGTTGTAAAATGTATGTGAAAAACAATTGTGGACTTGCTGTATCTATAACAGATTTTCCCCTTAAATTTATCACCTAGGCCTCAGATCAGATATTTTGTTAGACTAATATTTGACCCTCCAATAACTGAGAAGAGGAAGGAGGAAAGGATGTTTTCTTGCTTCTGGTGATAGCTGCTATTCCGTTTAACAAAATGAATCTACAGAAAGACAAAGGATGAAAAAGTAGCTAAAGAATCTCGCTTATTTGGAATATGAAGGGACTCCTTATCCATCTCTGCTATTAAGGTTTATATTCTCATATCAAGCAATACTGAAGGTCATTAAAAGGCCTACACAGTTGCGTGAGTTATTTGATATTCATAAATATATGTAAAGGGGCCCAGGGGCCTTTGATCTGCAAAATTGCTTAAGAGACATTTCAGAGAATATGCAGCTCCATGACTTGAGAGCACAAAAAGAATCAAGAATCGATGTCCAGTATCCAAATGGGAAAGGGATGATTTGTAATACTTTTAAAATATCTCTTGGTGATGAAATGTGGCCCTATACCTTAATAAAATAGGAACTCTAGAAGCTTGTAAAATACAGATGACAAATGCTTTTCCAGCGTCAAAAGGAGCATAAAAGTTAAAAGTCATGAACCAGAAGTAGATCTAGTGAACTAATAATCCTTATTTGGAGACTTTATATTTTACTATGATTTACTTCACACTTTAACCAAGGTAGTTTATTAGCCTACTGGTGTGTGTGTGTGGGTGTGAGAGAAGGGGGGATGGCATTATTCAACTTAAAAGAATGAACTTGGTCTCTTCTTAACTAGTATACAGTTTACCATCAACTTGCAGAAGCCACATAAAAAGTGAAACCACGGTACAATGCCTACAGCATTAGGTTTTAAAGGGCTATAAAGTGTTTCTAAAGATAGAGGCAGCTGCATGCTTGATGGGGGAGGATCTGGTTGGAATTGAGCAGTTGCCTACTGGAGCCTGTAGATGCAGGCGCCTGAAATGTTATCCAGGTTAGGAAAATCAGTCTTCTAGAATGGCTACTATGAAAGTGATAGAATTGGCACTGTGACACTTTTTGAAGGAGGTTGAGGTATGTGAGTTATATATAATAACTAAATCTGAAAGAAAACTTGCACATTATTTAAAACATTTTTTGTATAAATGTTGTCCACATGTACAACTGAGACCCTATACTCCTGATACGAATGCTTCTTTATCAATGGAATGAAGTTCCATTCATCTTGAAAGTTAAATCAAGAGATTTATGCCTGTTTTGCCTGTGAATTTGTGGAG